CAGGATCCACTCTGCCTCCATGGGCCAGGGGAACAGACTCTCGGCCTCCTCCCTGCCTGGCTCACCTCCTCCCCCTTCTCTCCCCTCTTCCGGGGGCCCTCCAGTCAGGGCTGCAGACCTTGGCTTCTCAGGCTTCTCATCAGCGGCCTCACTGCCGCCAGATTCCTGCTAAAGTGCCTTGATTGCATAATGTCTATTTGCATAATGTAAATTGCAATCTCCTAGCTCGGGAGGCAGGAATCACAGAACAGCCATTATTTTTTACCACTCCACAAAAATTCTACATTTAGAAAGCAGATTTGCAGCTCAGAAAGCTGTATAAATCTGAATCCGCCAGAAATATCATTAAATCATACCAATTAAGCTGGACCCTCAAAGAGCCCCTGTCACTGCTCTCTGTACACTCAAGGACTCCCAGCCCAGATGGGGGCCACAAGATACCCGAGGCTGTGGCAGTGGGGCTGGAAACAGATGCCTGAAGAGGCAGAGAACTCTGTCTTACAAACCTGAGCACCCCCACCCCCAGCACAGGCTCCCACCACCACCTGGGAGAGCCTGGGGGGGGGGGGTGCACCTGGCTTCTCCTGGGCACACTGGCTGTCAGCAGACTTTTAACTTACAGAGCCCAAGAGAGTGTGAGCTTGAAACCTACACCTTTTGCAAAACTAATGGGGAAGAGCCAAGGTATTTGATGTGGGGCAAAATCTCTACCCCTTTAGCCTCACTAGACTTCTCCTCTCCCAAGTTCCCCCCAGCCAAGTGAAAGGAGTGAAAAGGACAAATACTGCCCAGACTGGCCCAGGCTGGCTGCACTCTGAGCTCCTTTTAAGAGCTGTTTCCAGGAGTCACTGGGGAGCAGGGTGAGTCACAAGGCCTCTGCAAAAGGGGCATTCCCTTGGACAGCCACCTAAGACTCCAGCTTCTACAAAGCAGTATACCTGGTTACTCTTTTGCCTCTTTATTGCTCATTCAATATTCATTTGTCAAAGGGCAAGATGCTAATGTGTATTATTAAAATATCAATAGTTTATGAGTGAAGTTTTATGGAGAGTACAGTTAAAGGCAAAATTCTTGACCATCTCTGTCAGAAGCAATGGAAAGGAATAATCTTTCTATCGAACTTTACTTTTTATTTATTTACTGGCTCAGAGTCATTAAACCATTATTAAGCACCTACTGTGGGCCAGAAATGGCTCTAAGTGTGTTCACATGCTAGGTTTTATTGAGTTCCCACAGCACTTCTGGGACGTTTATACAATCTCATTTCCTTTCTAGAAACAAGGAATCTTAAGACCAAGGTCATGTGCCAAGGATCACAAAGGTGGTAAGTCACAAGGCTGGGATTCATATTTCCCTCGAAGTTGGAGCCTTAAAAATCTAAATGACCTGTATATTTTTGTCTGTTTCCTTCACCTGCCCAAATTAAACATTAGTTTCCTAACCTAAGTTTCATGAAAGGAGAAAGAACAGAAAATCATTCCATACTGTAATACAAACCTATCCATCTCCATAAATAGGGCCCACTTTATGTTTAAACAAGTTTCTGGAATCTTATGTGTATTTAGAATCTCAGAACTAAAGGTGACATTGCAATGATGATATCATCAGAACCCCCATTTTGCAGAAGAGTAAACTGAGGCTCTTTTAATAATCTTTTAAAAAAATTTAATGACTTAATTTTTATTAACATGTATTAATTGCACACATTAACAGGATTCAGTATGATAACTTTAATACATGCATATACTGCGCACTGATCAAATAATGAAGTAGTTTAAGACAAGAATACAGTTGTAAGTTGATTTCAATGCTACTGCCAGCTTACTGTTACTTTTTAGTGTATTTATTCTCTGGGCCTTCACTTCTGTGATAATAATTCAGAGATAATAAAAGGATCCTGTAAAGCAGGGGCCAATCAGAAATAGTAACTCATAAAACACCCCAAGTACTTAGTGTAGTGCCTAGTATGCAGAAGTACCCAGCAAGTGTTGGTTACTGATATTCATATTAAACTGATGAGGACAAACCCAAGACTTTCTTGCCAAACTCCAGTACCTTTTCATCAAAACCAAAACCACTTACCCCCTCTTCCCTGCACCCCCAATTAGCCATTTTCAAATATCAGCCCTTTGTGTATGTGTGTTGGGGGGCGGGGATCAGGGATAGACTGGCTTGGTTCCTACCCTTTGGTTGTTTGGATTTTTGTTTCTATCCCTGTAAGTTAGAACAAGGCAGCCAGAGCACTCAGATTCTCTTCCAAATTTCAACTGTATTTGGATCATAAACATGGAAAAGGGAAGAAACCTGGTTCCTTAAGGGCAGGCCCTCCCCAGATCAGAGTACAGCAGAAGGCCTTACAGGCCAAAAAGCAAGGGCTTCCCGGAACTCCCTATCCCTGGCAAGCCAGCTCCTCCACACCATTACGACCTTGATCTTTAGCTGAAACCCACCCCAGCCTCAAAGGCCACACTGATAGAGATGCAGGGAATCTGGATGCCAGCAAAGGGCATGCCCTGTGGATCTAAGTCAGGTCTAAGACACCTCTAGACCGGATGCTTCAGGCTACAGAATGCACACTGGACCCACTCCTGCTGAGATGGCCTATGAAGTTGAGGTTTCCACCAACTGCAGGATCTCCCAGAATCACCATGTCCCGTCCAGGAAGGAAGTGTAGCTTGGCCGTGAGGGGCTCTTGAAACTCAGACATTCTGAGTCAAGGGACAGTATGTTTTATCTAAGACAGAGGTTTCTTTAGCCTGTCTTTCTAGAAAGAACACATCATCTCCCCCTTGCAGAAGACTTCACTTCACTCTTTATGGAAAATAGATGAGACTGGTTATACCAGACTACTAGCAAATACTTGGCAAATACTAGTTGTAGTAGATTATCTTCTCCAAAGATGGCTGCAGCAACGTAAGCTAGCCCTCCAATGCCAATACAGCTTCCACCTAGCTTTTGCTTTCTCTCAGGATCCTCCCCTTAGGAAGCCACATGGAGAGGTCACTCGGGCCTGGATGACAACCCCAGCTAATATCTTAGCCAACAGCTAGCCTCAAAGTCCAGAATGAAGGAACTTGTGGATGATTCCAGCACCAGCTTTTTAGTCGACCCAGATGAAACCTCAGACCTGGTAAAATGCAGACAGGTTGTCCTCACACTGCTTTATCTAAATTCCTGACTTATAGAATACATGAACACAATAAATGTTCAGCCCACTATGTTTTGGAGGTGATTTTTCATACAGCCTAGTCACTGAACACCACGGAATGAAATTGGAATGTTTGTTATTTCCCACTCAAATCCAGCCCTCATTGGTCTTCTCTCTGAAACTTCAGACTTTCAGACTTTTTCCTCCTTACCTGGTTCCCATCACTCTTTGAGCCTGCCTCCTCTTCTTTCTCCTTCTCCAGAAGGCAGACTCCTCATGCCTGAGGTGGCTTTGGCAAACCACTGCCTGAAAGATCATTTGAACCCTTCTCATTTCAGAGTCCTGGGATCTGAAGAAATCTGCTCTTCCTAGGTCTTTACTGAGGTCTGAGTGTCCCCACCAGGGAACTCTCCCTGGGTGTGGGTGGCCCAGTGCCGAGGTGCCCGGCTGCCCTCCAAGACTGGGAAGGAAGGTGCAGATGAATTTCTCCCCTATGCTCCACTGTCATTAAGGTTCATGCTCAGCTTGTTCCTCATACTTGACTTGACTTATGAGGTCCCTGTAACCTCCGGTGCGAGGAGACATCGATTCTCACAAAGGTTATTTTCTTCTACTCTGGCTCCCCCACCCACCCGAGCCCCATCTCCAGGCAGGCTTTCCTGGAACAGGATGGAGGGAGTCATCCTTCTCCACCCCTTCAGCCTGGAGATCCAACCACTCCTAAGCCTGGGCTGCAGAGGAGGTGCCCTGGGAGCCCAGGCCCATCAATCATGGAGGCGACCAGCACTGAATCGCAGGCCATTAGGCGGGAGGGCCGGCGCCCTGCTCACTCACTGGGCAGCCATCGGCAGGATGTTAGCCGATCGCAGGGCAGCCATTCTTATGATTTATTCAAATACTCATTACAGTCAATCTATTTTTACACAGAGGTGAAGATGTGCGCTGATAACGGTTAATCATTTATAATTCCATGGACTGGTTGGAAGCCAATGTACTATCAAAGTCGTAGCAGCAACAGCAACCTGGTCTCTGGCAGCCCCAGAGCAGAGTGGAGGAGCCCTGCCAGCCCAGGGCAGCCCAGTCATCCGGCTGAAAATCACCAACAGTAACTGGACTTAAGGTGCAGTGTGCAAACACATGGGGATCTCAGACTGTATCCTCTGGGAGCTCATGGCCTCGCTGGCGAGAGCACAAAAAGGGCCAGCTAGAGGAGAGGGCAGCATGTAAATGCTGCAAATCTCAGAAGAGGAAGAACTCGCTTCTAGCTAGGCTACCAAAAAAGGCTACCCACAGGTGGGCAGACTCTTTCTTGCCATGTGGGAAGAGGCCGTATGAGCCCATACTTAGGCTCACAATGCATGAAGTAGAGTTCTTACTGGGCAGAGGGAAGGGAAGGGAAGTGGTCAGCAGTATTTTCTTTTGCCTCCCCAGAAATAATTAGATGTAAATGTTAAGTGCAGGCTATGAATTTGGCCTTGTTTGAGAACTCACGCTGTTGCCATTTCCTCCTTGTCCTCCAAACTTAGCCCATACACAATAGAAGCTGAGGTCTGGGTCAGCCTTGCAGACTCAAGATCTTCCTTCCCCAGCATTAATGATACACGTAGCACATCAAGTCCACCTTAATGCCCAATCAATACAGTCTAATTAAATAGCATGTCATATTACAAGGCTGCTTTGTCACATTCAGACATAATCTAATTAGAGCTCCACTGTGTTTTACATTCTGACTAACTCATTGTTGAGTATTTCCCTTGCACAATGCACAGCTGTTAAAGATCTGGTTCAGGGCCGGTCTTGAACCCATAACCTTATTGAGTCAGTGTGGAAAACGTCAATCAAAATTACTTACAGTTCACAGCCCCTTTTCTAGTGAACCACATGGGGGACAGAAAGCCTCAGAGTCCTGCTCCAGACTTCACCTGCCAATAAAAGAAAACATCTTTATGGACTGTGTAAGACTGTGCTGGGGGTGAGCAGCAGGGTAGAGCTGGGTAGGGTCCAGAGGAGGATTTGTTTGAGCGCAAAGTGGGGGCTGGCAGCTCTGCACCCATAGTGCTGAGTGGGAAAGTATCCTAGCAAAGATGTTCTGGTGCAAAATGATTATGATTTTAAGAGCTAAGCAGGACACAGATGAGGGACCACACCCTTCTGTGTGGGCTGGGTCCCTCCACTATTTTTGAGTTTTGGCCTTTTCTGTATAGGAACCCCAGATAAAAAAGGGCTCTTAGGTGTCAAGTAACCCAAGCTGACCAAGGAGTAATCATTTACTGGGGCCTCTCGCCTGGTGGAAAATCCTGAGCAGGGGTGGAGCTCAGGGGCCCCCTGTGAAAGCTCGCAGACAGGGAAAGTTGCACGTACAAGCAGACAACAAAACTGCCCGTGTTGTTTATGGAGGGAAAATGAAAGTTTCACTACAGGAGGAACTTTCAGGTAAAGTTCAGACGAGTAGGAAGGAAAAATGTACCTGGAAAAGAGTGATGAAGACAAGATGAAAAAAATCAAAACCCTAATTACTTTTTTTTTTGGTACCAGGGATCAAACTTGGGTCCTTGGGCTTGCACAGCAGGCGACGAAACCACTGAGCTAAATCCCCGGCCCCCAACCCTAATTACTTTGAATTCTCTTTCTGGAATAAAATAACTTTTAAAAACAGCACATATTTTGCTGAGTATCTTCCTAAAAGAATTAAAAGAATCATATCACAGCGATATATGTGCATCCATGTTTATAGCGGCACAGTTTGTAATAGCTAAAACTTGGCAACAGCCCAATTGCCCAGCAACTGGAGACTGGATAAAGAAGATGTGGATTTTTTAAATAAAACGGAGTACTTCTTGGCCATAAAGAATGAGAAACTAGAGACATTTATAGCTAAGTGGATACACATTGAGGCCATACTCTTAAGTGAAATAAATAAGACACACGTGTAAATACCAAATCGTTTCTCTGGTGTGAAAAGCTAAAACTGTAAACAAGGATCAAAATGTATAAGTGATATTGTGAAATAGGAAGAAATGGTCTAAAGGAGTGGGGGAAGTGGGAGGGGTAGGGGGAAGGAAAGAAGGGAAAAGAAAAAATATGAGAAAAGGAAAAAAATGGAAACAAAGTCTTTGTAAATAGGGAAGAGTGGAGGGGGTGAAGGGAGGGCAGGGGAATGGGGAAAAAATAAGAACCAAGATGCATCATATAAAGAAACAAGATCCCAATGATGAATGTAACTGTATTGTATACCTAAAATGTTCCAATAAACTTAATGGAAAACAAAAAACAGCACATATCTACACTGTGATCTACACTTGCTGGGTACAGCAGGAATAAAATCCATGGGTCCTGTTATAAATAAGAAATAAGATTGACCATATGAAGCAGCACCAGACACAACTACACAAAGTTATGCTAAATTGTGTAGTAGTCTCTCTCTCCATGAAGAGCAGAAGTCAGCAGAAGTTGGGACACTCAAGGGAGTTCTGATGGGGGGAAAGAATGTGAGTGGGACCTCAGAAGACTTGGACAGGCAAGATCTGGCTGATGGAAGGGGGAGAGAGGGTCCTATAGATTGGGTATTTAATGTCCTTGAAAGGTCACCTATTAAAGACTTAGTTCCCAACATGACATTAGTTGGAGGTGGTAGAATGACATTAGTTGGAGGTGGGAACCAGTGAGAGGTCTTTAAGTCACTACGGTGTGCCCTTGAGGGGGATGGTGGGACTCTGGACCCTTCTTCTTTTTCTTCTGTTTCCAAGTCATGATGTGAACAATTTTGCTCTGCCACACATCCCCATGGTGATGTGCTACCTAACCACAGACCCAAAGTAATGGGGAGAATTGACGATGGGCTGGAGCCTCCAAGACTGTGAGCCAAACCGAAACTTTTCTCTTTATAAGTATATTGTCTCAGGTATTTTGTTGCAGTGACAGGAAGCTGGGTGATATGGGCTTGTTAATGAACAGAGGGCATGTCAAAGAAGGGGGCAATCTAAGCAAGAGCAAAGAAGGGGAAGCATGGAAAAAAGCCTGAGACAGCACAGAGGTTGGTGTGACTGAAGGAAACAAGAGAAAGGAAGCATGTCAGCTAATCAGGATGGGCCACAGCATCCAGGCTCTGAGGCTCAGGCAGGAGGAATCAGGCATGCACTGTGAGCTTTTAGAAGCACTGAAGGTTTCCCAATAAGGAAATGGTAGGAGGTAGCACCACTACTAAAGTATTCCTTTAGTATTTTCCCTTTAATTAAGACGAGAGGCAACTTAGAAGAAGGTGAGATTTCAGTTAGAAGATTCGGATATCAGCTCTAGAGAGGTATGCTCATGAAAATACATGGTTCCTCTTGTTCACAATGATATTCTCTAGCCAAAAGGTCTTCCTCTGAATGTTTCTACTGATATCTGCATGATCACAGTTTTTAGTTCATGGAGTTGATGAGGCAGGGACACTAGACTGCAAGCCACTGAGGAATATGATGATGTTTTATGCATCTTTATATTCACAGAACCTAGAAGAGTGCCCAGCATGATTGAGGTTCTCAGAAATAGCTCTTGAAATCTTGAATGGTGGACCCTGTTCATTTCACCCAGAAACTGTAACCAGCACCTCAGAACCAGAGCCTTGGTTGACAAGTGGCTCTAACTTGTGTTTTGTTAAACTACTTACAGGTCACAACTGAGCTCAGTCCACTATGTGAAGTCAGTATGTGAAGTCTCCAGATTAAATTATACGGAGCTTTGTGCTCTGTCCCTGCCCTCTGGGAAGTCCATCTGAGATACTAGCCACTTGGAAGAAGATATGGCAGACTTTCCATCTGTCATAATGCAGAGCTGCTGTGCCAGAGGGACAGAGTCAAGATTGTTACGACACATACCAAGCTAAAAGGAAGGGTCAAATTAAAAAGTCCATTTTTGCTTTACTGGTTATTTCTTGCAAAATAGCATCATGAGAACCACAAATGAAATAATTTCAAAAATAAGGAAAAATTGTTTATGATCTCATTTCTCTAAACCATCAAATTATACTCTGTGGCCTGCAAATTTTCCTTTTCTACAGAATTATTGATAAATATTCGACAAGTATATATACACCAAACCTGGCTCCTATATTTTAAAATCAATTGCAAAAACACAGAACTGTGTGACCCAGTTTAAAGAAATGACCTGGGTTATTTGAGTCAAATGCAAGTTCAGAATATGGTGTTGCTGCCAGACTCACTAAATGTGATCTTAGGTTACATTTACAATTACACCGTGTCCAACTAAGACCTGGACAATTTCTACTCTAAACTTAACAGTCCATCAGTTCTATGCGTAATTCTGGCATCATATTTTAAGAATTTTAACAGTGATGAGTAGAAAAGAGAGAAGATATTAAGCAGTTAAATTGTGGGTTAAAAGTCTAGTAATTAAAAGTACAGGTTCTAGAATCACATTATATGTGCAACTATCAATCTCAACTTGACCGTGGGTGAGTTCCTTATCGCCTCTGTGCCTTAGTTTTTTATTTGTAAAAGATGGATAATAACATATCTTCCTCTGTAGCTATGAAGACTACAGGACTTAATGTAACCTAAGGTGCATAGGGCAGCACCTAACACAAAAGGAGCGCTCAGTGAATGCGAGCTATTGTTGTTGCTATTTTCATTATTATAAGGAGGCTGTGAGACAGAAGTCATGGAGGAAGAAACCGAGCAGTATCTTCATGTGCCCCTCTCTAATATTATCCATTGGTCCTAATTCTACTAACTAAAACAACGTGTTCCTTCTCCCTCAGGGTGGTCCTATAAATGTTGGGAGAAACTACATGAAAGGGACTGAATTATTCTAGAAGGTAGGATTAAGACTAACTGCAGATGTTAGAGGACGCTGATCTTCAGTTCAACATAAGAAAGCTATGAGAACCCTTCACAAGTGAGCCAGGTTTTCTCAGAAAGCAGTGAATCCCAACTCTAGAGGGAGAACCCTACACTGGGCGAGAAGTGGCCAAAGAGCGGTTTCCCTTGGATTTCAGCCATTTGTAAAACTGTTTTTAAGAAATTACAAGGCTGATGAGATTAATACCTTATATTTTGATAAAATACTAATAGTGTTTTCTTTCATCATCATTTCAAAGTAATTCAATGCACAAAAGAAGGGCAAAACCTCACAATACAGTCATCGCTAGAATTGAACCTACACATCACAGAAAACCTCTCTCTCTCTCTCTCTCTCTCTCATCTCTCACATGGAAATTCCACATTATACTTGTCTTTCACTCCTCACATGCACCAGTGGAGTAGTCTTCCCAGACCAGCCCTAGCCCAGGATGCACGCAGAAACCATCATGTGCATGATATTATACCCTGGCAAGTAAACATCATGTCAAAAGCCTTCAGTCATATACCAGTGCAACCAGAATTAGAACTTCAGTCTTTATTCACTATGAAGATACTATGGGATCATAAATGAGATTGACCATTCCCATTTATAAACATGAGGGGAATTTGTAAAGTGATAAACGGGAGGAAGTTTTTGAATAGTCATGTTTATTTGAAAAAGAGTCGGGAACAGGGATTAGGAGAAATCTTCCCACAGGAAGTAGTACAGTGGGATTGACTTGGCATACTCAAGACAGTTGTGCAGTCCTCCATGAGGTACACTCAGGCAGGCTGGAAGGATGGAGGGAAATGAGCCCTGGCTTAAGCAACCCATGGCTTAATACAGAGAGCACTGGATCAAAAGTATCAGCCAGACATGAGTTCACGCCCTGACCCTGTCACTAACTTACTGTTTGAACTTGCTGTTGTTGTTTTTTTATTCTTTGATGCAGAGTTTCGATATGGAGTTCAGGCTGGCCTTGATCTCACTATGTAGCCCAGGCTGGCCTCAAACTCGTGGCAATCCTTTTGTCCCAGCCTCCCCAGTACTAGGATTATAGGTAAGCAACACCACACGT